ATAAGTAAGGTAAGAAAGAAATGAGAAGGGACGAAAGGGAGAACAGGTAAATCTTTAGAAGTGTGTAAGTCAGTGGTTCCTTACATCCTTTTAAGAAACTCTTTACATACAAAACTGGCGTTCCTTAAAGTAATACCAATTTTTAGTTGTCTGATTCAAACGCAGCAAACTTCAGCAGATACTCTCTTTAAATCAACTCAGCCCCTGGCTTACCTAGCAAACCCATACACCTGTGAGGAGAGCACACTTCTGACTCACTTTTATCTATCGGCTACGTGGACCATCACCCGTTTTGTCTCTCCTCTGATCTTAGTGAATAGCTCATGTCTCATAAATTACAGAAAAGGTGTGTGTGGAGGCACTTTTCAGGAGGAGTTCGAATGCAGGGAGGGAGCCTTGCAAATCAGTTCAGAAAGGATGTTCCACAGTTGAGGAATGTTCCAGAAACAGCTGTGGCACTTTATCAGCATTATCTTGGGACAGTTGCATTACATGTAAGTGGGGAAGCTCCAAGCACAACATATAAATAATATTGATGAAGTCATGTGTACGTCTGTATACACATACTTTTTTCCACACATTCCACAAATTACATACTCTCCATGACACAGGATGTACTACTCTCTTTTCCACACAAAACTCTCTGGAATTAGAGTGATACCCCAACTGCCTCAGTGGCAACAAAAACCTTTTTGTTTAACTCTTTTGAGCAGCACCTTGTCAGACAGTGTTAGCACATTTCCTTGGGAGCAAAGCTCCACAGTGCGTGGCACTACACTAAGAAAAGGAAGGAGACTAGTCCATAGTCTCATTTAAGATGAAGATGGTTGGAAAAAAATGCAGACAAGTCTTCACAAACAAGTGATACAATTTGTTGTGATTCTTCTCACAGTGAAATTCACAGCAATGCAGACAAGTCTTCACAAACAAGTGATACAATTTGTTGTGATTCTTCTCACAGTGAAATTCCTGCTGACTTCAATCTGCTACTGGTGATGTTTTTCTTCTACTAAAGAGATCCCTGCAAGCATTCTGCTTGGTGAAGTGCCTTCTTTTTCCATAGGCAATCTCTGCCCAAGTGTAAAGCTGCTACTTGCTGCAGCTGAGTTGTTTCAGTAACATAAACAGGGCAAACTATACATAGAGGTAATATCTTTTATCAGATGTGTTTCTGGCACAGCTTAAAAAATTAATGCATTTTCAAGCACAGAAACCTTTTTAGAGGCAAGAAATGTCTTCAGAACAAGAAGGAGCAGATTATACTTGAAACACTTGAACTGGCCTCACCCTGCACAGCTCAGCTTCCAGAAACAGCACCGCCGAGTGAGCTGCCCTCGTTCCTGGAGAGGTCTGGCAGGCTACCTGAGCTCTGCATTGCCTTTGTTCACTTCAACCAGGTTCTGGTACCTCCATGTGTCATATCTTAACTCCAGTGTGTTTAAAAAAAAAAAAAAAAAAGATAAATTACCCCCTACAGCTGAGATTTAACGGACTCTGGAAATTGAACTGCCTTTGAAATGTACTCAAAAATGGAAGAAGAGACCTGTGTCACAGGAAGGTTATTTGCTGGAAGGGTGGCTGCCCCAAGAAAGACTGTCAGCCACATGAGGCCTCTGTACAAGTCATTTTTGTGTAGACAGAAAATAAAACCCAGGGTGACGCCTAGTCATCTAGAATCCATGAAAGTGGGTGCCAACGTCTTCATGACATGCACACCCAGAAGACTCCCGGAACCATGCACACACACTGGTGTGTATGTGGAAGGTACGCGTGTTTGTAGAGCTTCTCACCTCTAAGTAGAGATGGAAATCTTGGACTTTCAAACTGCTTCTCCCTAAGGGGTCCCTATATCTTTAGACTGCATTCAAAAGAAAGCCTAAGAAGTGTATCTGACCTCTGCAACATCACTGTGGAGCACTGGACTGCAATCTGGCCATAATTTCCTCGGGAGAAGTCAGCAGCATTGCAAGAACCCTGTGGTTATTGTATACAAACCTGCAATAGGTCACGACGGGAGGCTCACTCTCCCTTTCCTGCAAAATCCAGCTCAGCAGCATTTCTCAGCATCTTCAGAGTGTGTTCCCTGCATTCCCTTTGTCTCAGAATCTCATTGGCAAAAATCTGCTATTTCCAGTTAAATACCTTGAAAGACCATATCCAGTAATAATAATTTTTGTGTGATAATTCCAAATTCTAATGATCTGCGCTGAAAATGCAAAAATCTCCTTTTGAGATAAACGAGAAACATACCAAACCTTTTTTTTTCCCCCCCTCTTTAACAGTGAAGTTCCCTGCTTTCAAGGCTTCTGCTGGGAACTTTGCAAATGTTTTAAATAATCTGTCACCTTTTTACTTTATTTCTTCCTCAGGCTGAAGAAGACACTCATGCGTGTTTAAATCCCAAAGAAGCTCTGAAGACATAGGAGTTTTGTGGGACTGTCAGATTTCTTGTGATGCTGCTTGCTAGAACTTATCTCCATTTCATTAAGAACAAATCGGAGATGACCTCAATGATAACTGAGTGGAAATTCAGGTGTAATATCCATACTATGCATAAAATTATAACCAAAACCATATTTTTGCCACCTTAATATCCTTTAGCTAATAGCAGAAAGAATGAATGTGAAATCTGCAGTGCTGCATATTAATCTGTATTAGGCTACCCTGTTTCAATGTTAAAATATGAACTGAAAAAACCCGTCTGCCCCTTGTTATCCTGATAATTCATATGTTTCACAATGGCTTTCAATTTCAAAATTACAGACTTTGAAAAAATGAAGGAATCAATTAACAACATGAACTGAAAAGCCCAGGAAGTTCAGTGAGGAAGAGGACTGGAATTTCTTTAAATCAGAGCTACAGAAAACAACACATAATCTGCATTTCACGCACCGGGATACCTGTCAGAAAGGAGATTCAGCCTTGTATTGAACCTCAGCAGAAGCTGGCTGGGGAAAAGGGGTTCACAAGCGATGAATGCAAGTACTGAACTACAAGAAAAGCAGGATCTTGGAGGTCTGGAAGTTCAGAGGTTATGCGGCAACTGCCACAACTTACAGTAAGGTAGATTTTGCAAAGGAAGTCAAACCAAAGAAGAGCAAGTTCTTCAGTATAAACAGGAAAAGAACAAGAAACAAGGGAGTAAATGAAAGCTTAGCCTCAATTTCATGGCAGTGCACAGCGTGGAGACAACAGCAGGATGGACAATAGGAGCATGTACAGAAGTGGAGGGCACTGCAGGCAATGATCTCTGTCCCTGCACAGTGAATGAACACGTCCCAGAAACGGCCACGCTAGCATAACTGATTTAAACCAAAAAGACCCCCACTCAGAACCAAATGATCCAGTGATGAGAGAAGTAAACGCAACGCCGTTCATTTAAACAGGAGGGAAACAGTTCGTGTTAGTACGGAATCATTGGTTTGCAAACTGTTAAACAAGATTTAGATGGGAAGACTTATCAAAAGCACAGAGAAGGGGAAGATGGAACAGGCTCCCAAGGATTGCTCATGACAGGCTGAACTGGTATCTTTGCTCAGCAAGACATCTGATCTTTTAGACAGCATGGATAACATATTCCAGCTGGGCTTCAGTAAAACATTCAGAAAGGTTCACCCAGAACAGGACTGGAATGGAGAGTTAAACAGGCCACCAGGCAGAAGAGAAATATCACTGGTTATGTTGGTGCAAGAACCATTGGGATGGAAGAAGGTAAACAAAGAGTTCCACGGAAGCAGTCCTGGAACCACACTCCATTTAGTATTTTGATTTTACAGCTTGGCATAAAACCAGAAGATCAGCTAATAATACAAAGGGACTCATCTCACCTAAATCTTCTTGTCTAAAAATCAGGCTTTTACTGGAAAATAGTTGCTCCTTTCATAGTCAATGTAGAAACAGGCACCTCGGAGGGAAAGTCTGTCTAGAGATGTCTAAGATAGTTCCTTCTTTCCACTGCCTGTAGAGGAAGTCTAGATGATTTTATTAAACAAACAGCCTAACTTACAGATAGCTAAACCATGCTATTTAGTGGCTGCATGACAGATATAGCTCACACAGAACATATTTAATTCCTGCAGTGCATGGGAATGAACTTGCAATCCATGTGTATGTAAGGGAGAGGTTTTGGGTTTATCCTGACCAGACTTGGTGTTCAGCTGCACCTCACGAATAGGGTCCCTACATTAACACACACCAGCCTTCTGCTGTCCAGTGGAGGCTGCTTACTTTCAAAGGGCAAAGCTCATCCAAAGATTTTGGAGGTGAGGTTCAGAGGCAGAACTCCAAGGGCCAAAAAGCATCTCCCTCTAGTTTCCTTTTATAATGAACTTACAGACCGCAGGACTGAGTATCAAGTGATGAAATAATAAAATACATTAGCCTTTAGTAGCCCCTGGGCAAGATTCTTACTGCTGAGATACAAATCTTGAGAGGGGATTAGGGAATTAGAACATAAATCCCTCTTCCTACTTCGTAGTTCTCAGCAATTTTTCATCTCCGAGTTTTGCATTCTCAGAACTTAATGACAGGGTGCTGCATAAGGAATTACTAATCCAATTTATATGAAGCACACCATGAACCCCAAACACAGATTCCTTTGTACAGCGTGCCAAAAACATATTCTAACATGCAATCATCAAAACAAATAAAACATTTCATTTTGAACTAGAAGATCTCTAATGGTTATTTTGTAAATAATAATCTGCCTTTATATAATGTTCTGTCCTGCAGGGTAGCATTTGGTGGTGACTGCTGCTGCAATCCACCATGTAGGTGTTGATCACACAGAGGACTCGCTTCAGCTAAAATTTCAAGTTGCATGTTTCAGAGTAGAAGACACTGAATGTGAAACATCAAATGAAAAAACAGTGCATACCATCAGCTACTTTCCCTTCCCATTGTTTGCTCCCCGTTCCACAACATCACTTGTTAATCTAACAGAGAAATCAGCAGTCAGGTACACAACAGTGTTAAAGCTACAGTGCTTTCTCCATACTCACTTTTGGCACATGTGGATTAAATTCTACTGCTCTGTGAATAGCTTCTACTGCATTCATCTCTGCAGTACTCAGCCCTCGCCTTGAGGCAGCCTCTGGAGAAAATCTACAAAAGCAAAGAAACACATTAGGTCAGAAATGCGAGTAAGAAAAAGCCAAAAAAGGAATCTAGAACATGGGCCCATGTAACCAAACTGAGTCAACTTCCTATGCTCTCCGAACTTCCATAGCAAGTGGAAACTCTGAGAGATCTCTTACGTCAAGGCCAATGAAAATCCCAGCAGAAGTGGAAAGCATGTTTGCATCTAATCATGGCAGAAAGTCAGTTCAAACAGTCCTTTCTCTGTCACTAATCTAAATTTGCTCTAGGTACCTTGCTAAGGGGCAGATTCAAGCTGAGGTTGCAGAAAAAAAGAAAAGCAAAAAAAAAAAACCAAAACAACCCACCAATGCCAAATTATTGTTGGAGGGTTTCTATTAAAAACAGCCTTGGGGAGGTTTTAGGAAGGCTCCCAACCCAATGCCCCTGGGTGAGGTTGGGATGGAAGCACGATGCAGCAGCAGTAGCGGGTGGTCTACTGGCCGCAGCACCATTGAGGGTAGCATGCCCAAACTGTGGGCAAATCATCTGCCCCAGTGAATGAAAAACCAGACCATGCAATCTCTTTCTCACCTCACACCCCACGGCTAACTCCAGAGCTGTACTTGGCAGGCAGACACCACAGGGAAAGCTGTGACAACCTTAGCCCTGCCCTCCCAAGCTGGAGTCGCAGTGTAGGGAGGAAAGATGTTGCAGTAGGTACTGGCGATCTACAGGATAAAAAGAATGAAAGAAAATTACTTAGATCTTGATGTGTACATACACCTTAAAAGCAAAAACTGTCAGGATGTCAGTCAAGAAAATGGCTTTCCACTCCACTTGCTTTCCAACTTTAGGGAGGCATTCGACCCTCAGGTGCGCAGACACAACTCTGCCTGGGATTTGTGTGAAGGCATCTGAGAGCAGAATTGGGATTTTTGAGCTCCATCTCACCAGGAGCTGAGCACCCGTTCAGAGCTGGCCAGTGCTCTCAAGACCACAGGCCTCAAGTAGATGTGCTCAGAACCTTGGAAGGTTGAGACCCAAGAGAAAACCATAACCGAAATGAGCAGATATTCGTGTCTCTAAAAATATGAATGCCATCTGCCTCTCAGAATCCCTGACATAGTGATTCTAAATCCACCTGCCGCTATTTAAGTAGAAGAGCAGTCTTCTGACAGCACGTGTAAAATGACATTGCTGGCACTGCATCCACATTTATTGATTACCTTTTTTTGTGGTCAAGTTTACACAAAGTTGAAGAGGTTCAGCCACACAACACCTTTTATTTGCATCTTCATTATACTATCTAGGAAGCCAAAGCTCACCCAGACAGTATACACAAAACTGAAACAAGAATTTAATTTATGCTATTTCTCTTCTTCTCTTCTTCTGTAATATTTGAAGTGCAATGTTCGATCACTGCAAATTTTTCTTATATATAAAGTAATTTTATGAATTTACTGCAGTACTGAATTCTCCTGCTAACCCAGCAGATCGTTAGGGTGTGGGCTCAGATAAGAGAAATCTCAAGTTAAATCAGGAATTTTGCTGGACAGTGGTTCTTATGCACTTACTTGTCAGAGACAGCTCTGGCTTTCAGCAATGCAGCTGTGTAACATATTGTTGCTGATTTTGGTAAGCTTATATCTGTTGAAAAGAAAGAAAAAAGTAAATGTCTGAAAATTTAAAAGTTTGCAGAAAGAAAAGTCTTTGAAGTGATACTTCATGCATGTGCAAAATTTTTAAGTGAATTCAGAATACTTCCTGATCTTGGGACTTGTACTCCCAAGTCACATGGATTTTTAAATTTCCACCCAATATACAAGCTTAAAAACCTGTGTTAATGACCACTGGAATTGCTATTTAAGCAGCAGCTGGGTTCATTAAAGAACTAATTCAGAGAGTGACATGACAGAGACATAATGAAAGAATTCATTACCTCATACATAAATGTATAGGTAAGCGGGAATACATGAATTTTTCCATAGTTCACAAAAGATCTAAGTAATAGCTGAGGGCTATCTTCTTCACTCCTCTTGTTTTCACTCAGAAGCAGTTGTCTAATATGAATATGTGGCAGCTATACAAGTTAAGACAGCTACTTAAGTAATAATGGATTTGACTTGCAAGCAACCTACCACTAGATTTATTGCAGTTAAAGATCAACAGTAAAACAAGGTGTTTTGCCTCTTGAGGAATCTTGGACCAAAATATTCACCAGACACATCTCTGGCCATTTTATGCTGTTCCAGAGACACACGGGAGCCATAAACCTGACTTAACTCATTAGTTCAACTTAAGTTATACCTTTTCTCTGCCACTAGACTGGCACAAAGCATCCAAAAGGTAGAGAGAAATGCTGCTTATTAGACTTGAGTTAGAGATTTGCTCCACTGTTACAGAGAAGAATTGCCTTCCACAGTAGTAATCTACCCAGTGGAGACGTATTATATAATGAGGGAAATACCCCGGCATGAAAAAGTTAAAGATCACAGCTTAATGGAAAAAAAAAAAAGAACAACCCCCACTAAAGGCTGGATTCTGCAAACCTTTCTGCACACAACTTACCTACTACTGTAAATAAAACCCAATGAAACAGTAAGTGATAAGAAGCACTAGGTCCTGAGATAATATTATAGCTTCCATATTAAATTGCAAATACACAGCATAGTAAAAACAAGGCACTGAGTAGGTCCACTGTGAAAGTGAAGAGCAGCTAATCTGACTAGTGTTCTGAGAAACTGCCTATCCCTCAGTTTGTCGTTAAAGTTGATTAGAAAGACAAAATTACCACAGAACTTGGTAATTCCAGGGTTAAGAGAAACTTGTGATTTACTGAACCCCAGTGCCTTGCAAGACAGGGTTCCAAAAAGCAGTGAGAGAGGACAAGCAAGTTGTATCCCAGCAACTACCATCCTTCAACCAAGCAACCAAGCAGAACGTAGTTCCGTTAGACAGAAAACGTTGCAAGAGTGACTGAGGCACTTTGAAAATGCTACCTGTTAAATCCTCTCTATTCTCTCTTTATGTGCTTGCACTTCAAGTGTGAGACGTAAAGATCTTGTTAGAGGCTCCCCTATAATATAGTCCAACTGTAATTTCACTGGAGTATGTAATTGTAGTGACTAAAGTAATTAAAATTAACAGCATGCAAAGCAGTCTGGGTGATAGATATGTTAATTACTACACTAATGGAAGCAAGCTACAGACGCAGACGTGAGCACATCTTCAGTGACAGGAGGAGAAAATACTTCTAAGCACCTTTGTGAGAACCTAGCTTCTCGTGTTTCTGCCTGAGCCGAAGTTATTGGCCTGTGAGCATTTCTCACACCTTCAATAACCCTGCTTATACCAGGTTTTCCTTAACATTAGGAGTTAAAAGTTATTTCCAGTAAACAGAAATTACTTTCTTCAGAACACGCTAGTCTCTGTCTTTCAGTATAAACCTTATTCATCGAATCATAAATGGAGTGAAAGGTAGAGGAATGGAAAAGAAAAAAAAAACCACAACCAAACCCCAACAATGTGCTGCCATTCGTAAGGTTTTTAGCTGTTCAACAGAACACCTTATTTTCCCCTCACTGGTAAGTGTTCCTCCGAGCCATCAAGCCACCATTACCTCATTCCCCTGCAGCCAACCTAGTAACGCTGGTTCAGGAGCTGACCTTTACAAAACTGTGCATGAACGACACAGAACAAGATGTCTACCTAAAATCCCCAGGAAACACATCTTCCCAGGCAAAAGACAAACTCCACGTGTAAAAAAAGGACCAAGAAGAGAATGTTTGCCGAGACTTCTTCAACTAATGCAGCAAGAGCGTGACTCTGCTTTTTAATCTGTTTAAAAGAGCTGAAAACTAGGAGGAATCCGGACGTTAGGAGCACATAACTGACACAGCAGAGGAAAAACAGTTGTTATGCCGATGAAAGCTGCTGGCTCAACTTCACCAGAGCAAGCAGGTATGCCAGCGAAAGCCAGAATGGCTGCAAGATAATGGCAATTCAGCTGTTAATACGTGATCCGTGAGGTTAAATAAGACCACGCCACACACAAAACCCCTCCAACGACATGTGTGAAGACTAGTTGCTGCATCAGATCTTCGATATCTGAATGGATAACGCTGAGTGGAAGTTGCATGGACCAAGTTGTGAGGAATACTACAATATTTGGCTAAGAGATCAAGATACAGAGTTGGAACTGAGCTTGATACAGGGTTAAAAATACTTAAAACACCGTATCCCAAGACAGTATCTTCTAGTAGGAAGTAAGTGCTCCTGAGCAGGAAATGCCTGTGCATATAGACTGCAGGGTGATACAGAATGAACTGCAGGCATCTGCGAAGAAGGGAAATGTGGTGAGGTCAGGTACCTCACCTGAGTCATTCCAGAAGAGGAAAGAGGATTTCTCAAGCAACGTTTTGTTTAAATCTGATCATCCATGGTCAAGAACAACAACAACAAAGAAGTAAACAGAAAGACTGGATTGTTTTTGTAACAATCCAAATGAAATAAGATCTTAGAGAAGACAGAACTGTTCCGTACGCACACCCACAAGGAAGACCAGGAAAGGAGAAGGGCTGCTTATTAGGTAAAGGACAATGTTGGCACAACAGCAAACAGTTCAGAATTAAATTTAGGCTGGAGATTAAAAGAAGGTTTCTGAGAAGTGAATTTTCTGAGGCAGATTTCCAGGTAGAATAGTGAGGCAAACAAAATAGCTAATTCTAGGATGGACTTGCTCGGCTCACGGAAGGGGTAGTATCACGCAGTGAATGAACAGTGGGGGAACCTGACTCACCCAGGAGGCCTCTTCCAGTACTATGTTCCTAATGAGCAAGCAGCAATCATTTGAGGATAATACCCACAGTCCCTTGGCAATGGAAGAAACACATACAGATGCTCATGTTTATGTTGCTGTGGAGACAGCCCTCAGTAGGTCCATGCCCGCTTCCCTCCAAAATGTTTTGCTTTTTGTTTGCTCCATATTAGACCGTAAGTATTTGGTTCTGCTATACTCTAGTCTGATCACCACAATACTTCAAAATCCTCGTGTAATTTAGGCTTCATCTCCAAAACTGGACCCTCATATTTTAGAGAAAAGCATAAAAAATTATGCCTGGTTACAACTCAAATTTAGCAAGGAAATCAAGTCTAAATTAGCCCTAGGAGATACGTCCTCTGTCAGAAACCAAAGCAAAGTTTTTCATAAATGACTGTGTCCAGCTCTGTGAGCCATCTGGCAAAATATCTTCCCATATACTGTTTCCCACCCTCCTGTGATTACTTGTGGAGCTCCCACAATGTGCTGAAAGATGTGACTGCTATTCTGTTGTCAAACCCATTAGGACATTTTTGCCTAATAAGACCTGCTCTGTCAATCTAAAAAAGGCTCTCCTTCTTCCTTACTGCTGTTCTCTTTAAACAGAATACAAAAGAGTCTGAACTTTATGTTTGAGTGTTTTCTTTCAATGATTAGCCCCAGTCAACTATGGGGAGGGTTGGGAAAGTGAATTCTTACTGGTCATTTGCTTCCTAAGCAGCTGCTCGTGAGAGTGAACTAATGGAAAGATGCTGTGGATAGAGACTGGCAACCATAATATCCCTACTTCTCTGATTCAAGATATCCAGCATATTCCATATATCATCTAAATAGGTCATGAGAACTACTGTTCTTATAAAATAGCAACTAACCCAAGAAATTATGAAGCTGGATATGGGGTGGTGAAACACTCCCTATCCAAGTCACCAGAAGGCCCTAAATGTGAAGACAAGCATGCTGCTTGTTACTTTAGTCATTAATAAATGCAAAATCTAAGTCACTAATCAGAAATTATTCCTTATTTTGACCCTAAAGTGTACATTATCCCCAAGTCAACAATGCAGATTTTTACGGGCTTAACTTCAGAGAGGTGAACAGACTTAATATTAATAAAACTTAAATATTCGCTGAAGTAAGCTGTAGATCTGGAGCCATAATTCGCACAGTAAGATCCATCCAGTCAAACTGCTAGGTCTTCTTCATATGGCACTGGAGAGAGGCAACATTAAGCTGCTGGAATCATTCACATATTTCCAAATATGTAACAGAGTATATCAACAAACTGGAGGAAGTCATGCTTGGTTTACCTCATAAACCAAGAAATGGTGGAATATAGGGCATGTATTGTGCTATGGCTTGGGCGTGAACCCCAGATCTGATTTTCTCTCCCTTGGCCTGTCTGTAAACTCCAGTGTTGAAGCGATAGGCCAACACTTGCCCTGTCAGCACAGAACTCCCCCAGTTCCCTGCAACCACAGGCTGGATTGTCAGCTCTTGCACAGGTGGTAGGAAAAATTGCTTATGGGGGAGATGGGAAGTGCTCTAGCAAATAAATATGTGCAGGCTGGATCTGTGCTGACAGAAGACAGATGCAGTCATCTACAAAGACACAAACATTAAGGAAGAAAATTAATTAAGCTGATACAAATGGTTAAAAGCAAGAGTAATAGGATGGAATTCAATAAAGGAAAGTATGAACTGAACATCAGGGGAAAAACACTTTGTCAAGAAGATCTAATATTCTGCTATATTATCTCCCACGGGAAAGTCACTGCATTTTTCCACAAAATGTGGTAGAAAACACGCTTGAGGGAGCAAAACTGTGAAC